GGGTTTTTTTGGGTTTGTTTGGTTGCTTTGTTTGTTGTTTCAGTTTGATTATAAGGACACTGTTCCTCCCACCACTGCTGTCCTGCTCACCACCAGAACATTAGGCCAGACCACATTTCTGCAGAGAAAGTTCAGCTACTCTGAGGACTAATTACAATTTTCAGGCTGAAGATAAGTTTATGTTACTTTCAGTAAACAGCTTTTCATTCTTTAGGGATCACATATCATTACAGTGCTACATCTAAAGGTTAAAATCTGAGTGTGCTGCTGGAAAGTTTAAGTGGTGTCCTGAAAAGCCACTGTCATTATTTATAATGGCTGCCCCAGCTGCAAAGGGTGGTGGATGGCACAAATTAAATGTTTGCTGAGAGAAAAACCTTCTGAGATGAAAACAAAGCAAACAACAAACAACAGATGTTTAGCCAAGAACTAATTGAGTATGCCCAGGACTGAGGCTGGAGGCTCGTACCCCTTGCCCTACAGATTGCCCACAAGTTGGGTATTTCTGGGTTTTGAGGAATGCCCAGGTATAACCCCCTTCGTGCCTTGCAAGGGAGATGCATTCTGCCAGCTCTGCCCCTTGATTTCCTTTGGGTGCACATATAATTGCCTCGTTAGTGATCATTTGTAGCTGTGCCCTTTGCAATGACTCTGGTGCCCAGCACACTTCAGACCCTGCTGCAGGAACATCAACAGGAGTGTGTGAGCACAGGGACCTGCTGGGAAACAGCAGCAAAGGGCTGATCTCCTCCAGGGAAAGCAGGACAGGGACTTGTTCACGGGCTGGATGATGATATGGGGTGTAACTAAACAGAAAATAACACTCAGTGGCCAAGGACTGCATTTATCATGCTACACAGAGATAAAATCCACCAATCATCTCGTCTTTACTTGCAAAATGTAGTAAAACAGACCATCTTCAACCACAGTTTCCCACCAATGGGGGAAAAAGAAATCCCAAAGCCACAAATAGACCTGAAGTTTTCTCAATTGTCCTCTAGTTCTTTAACTCTCTCGCAAATGAAAGACCAAATAATGATCTGGAGTATAGGCAGACACTGAAGAGCAATTCAATCCCAACTGGTTTGAACTTCAGCTTCTATTAGTTCCATAGAGAGAGCCATCAATTTAAATACCTCTCCCCCTCTAACAAATGCATTCAAGGCATAATTTTTCTGATAATTGTTCCCCTATCTGAGGATTGTGTTCCTAAAAGAGGTATCTAAAACAAACCAAACTTCACCAACACCCCCACACCAAACAGCAGCATGGTGAGTATGGAAAAAACCAATTCTAATTATTTCTTTTAACATTCTGCTCCCATCTCTCTTTTCCTTATTATCTGCTTAGCATTTAAGCATCCTTAAAGCACCATAAGACTGCTCTGTTTTAGCAGCTCTTTAGACATTGGGAGATATTCTGGGGAAACCTCAAGTGTGTTTTGACACACACTGAGCCAGATAAAATGATTCTGCCACTTGTTTACAGCACAAGTGACAATATTATTTCGGAGTCCTTGGAAAAGTGATAGACAACTGGTAGCCTCCAGGGAGCTCACAGACTTGCATTTGGCACCACCCTCCAAGCTGTGGACACGACTGTCACCTCCGTGATGGCTCTCAGCCACTGCAGGCTCCATTCAGGCCTCCCATCACTGCTTCATAGTTATCCTTGCTCTGCTCCTTTCAGCTACTCGCCCTTTTTGGTGTATTTTTAACTCTCAAATCAGCCATATTATTATTTTTTATGCTCTGTTTAGTGTTACCCCAGTGTGGCAGGAGGTTTGGGCTCCTTCATGCAACAGGCAGGTGGTTTGGGATGGCTTACATCAAAAAAACACAGAGTTACTGGATCAACTGCTGGTTACTGCTGCCTCTCCAGAGAAAATTAACTCTTGCATTTCATCCTCAATTTGGGGTTTGTGTGTGTGGTTTGAAAAAGGAAAATAAACAAATAAATTTTAAGGTTCCGTTTTCATAGCCCAGCACCTCAGAATTTGAGCAATGAAATAAATAATTAAAACATTTATATTTCAAAGCACAAGGGAAAGAAAAGATCTGGAACCCTGCTGGAAGGGCCCCAAATCAAAAGAAAGAGCTATTCAGAAAAAAAGTATTATTCCTATACTCTTGCAAAGTATTATAAATTCTTTCTTTCTGGAAGTAGCAGTGGAGCATTGGGCAGAGGTAGAACAGCAATGACTCATGTCGTTTTCTGCAGTGATTCATGACATTTCTGAGAATTCAACTGCAGCTGAGGCCCTCAATTCCACAAAGGCAAATTCCACAAGTACAAATATAACCTGAACCTCCACACAGCAGGTGTGTCCCACCTGGAACACAGATGAGATGCTGCGCAAAACAAGGACCTCAGAGCTCAGCTGGAAAAACATGAAGTCCTTGAGTTTCTTCACTTTAAAAAGGGAAAAAAATGTTTATAATTCCTGGAAACAAGAGCCATTTTTCTCTCGCACTAATCATTGTGAAAGGCGGTGTGCTGGTTCCACATTAATTGGTATTTAGTAAGAAGGAAAAAAACCACTCATGGAAATTATTTTCCTGAGAGAAGCTGCTAGAGAGTTTCCACAGTGCCTGGAAAAAGCCAATAGCTGGCTAGCTCTGAGAACTGACATCCTATTAAACCATTTAGAAGCTGTGTCCACCTCTGAATTCCACATTTTAAAAACAGGTAAGCCTGGGAAATCTCTCTCGTTTCCAGCCTTGAAAGGTAACAGAGCTCCGGTGGGGCTGGCTCGGCTCCCCCGCGGCCTGCGTGGCCTGGCAGGGCTGGGCCAGGCCCCAGTGGCGGCCAGGCAGGGGATGGAGGCTGCAGGGGTGGCAAGGCAGGGGATGGAGGCTGCAGGGAGCAGGCCAGGTTGGGCCAGTTCACAGCTGATAACATCTTGCTAACACTGAGCCCTGCCTGCTCCAGCGGCTGCCAGGCAGAGGAAAAGGCCCAGTGCGGCCTGAAATCCATCACTGTGACTACTTGGCCACTGCTCATGACCACCTGCAGGCCTGGACAAGATATTGGCCCTTCCACTATACAGATGAGACCTGCAGACCTTGATCCTCTCTCAAGGGAGAGAAAAAGACAGTGATGACACGTAGAGGGACAACATGAAGACACCAAGGTCAGTGAAAAAGGAGACAAGTCTCAGATGGAAGGAGAATGAGATGTCCTAATGGGGCTGAAAGTTCTTTTGGTAGGGCCATGGAGATGGACAATGATACTCTGAAATATCCCCTTTAATTCATGAGAGAGTATGGGGGGATGGAGTATTCAAACTGCAGATGTGAGCAGAGGTACCCATGATGAGGCAAAATGGGTGCTGCAGAGACTGTGATCCCAGGAGAAGCTTGAACAGAGAGAGTGATGAACACTCTTGGCCCTGGGGAAAGGAGAAGACGACCTCTGTTCCCAGAGTAAAGATGGTCGCAGAGATAGATGAAGAGAACCTTTGCTGTTGAATAACTCATCCTTAAAATAATATCCCAGAATTTGACATGGTCCATAAACACAGCTGTAGGAGTGCTGTGAAAATGGGAGGAACTTCACAACTGCAGATTTCTTCCTGGGCAGCTGCAATTCATGGAAATGAAAAGCCACAAGAGAACTGTTTCTTATGGAGAAGTCTCCATGGCATGGCAAGAGAAAGCTCCTCTCCCTACAAGAACTGATGAAAAATTATTGTAAAATTGGTAACTGATTTAAAATCCCAGGCTTTATCTCTGCTTTGTTGGGAAAGAAAAGAAGTCAGGAAAAGTGTTTTGAAGGTTTTATTCTGATGCTTCTTTTTCTTTTAGTTCTGTTAATAAAGTTTTCTCCATACTTTTTAAGTTTTATGCCTGTTTTGCCCTCTTCCTAATCTGTATCTCACATCAAGAATTAAGTGCACTGGTGATTTTGGCCAGCACCATACCCACCACATTATTTGGTGCATTGGCCAGGAAACTCAAATAAGTGAACCTAAACCACTACACTAAATTAGTGTTTCTTCCTGGTTTTGAACTGAAACCACCACATGTGGCAATTTAAAATGCAAACATTGGAGCACATTTCCATTGTTCCCCTGAAATGTGACAGAAGACAGCATTTGTTTTCTGGACAGCTCACAGATGCACTTGATGATATTTTTCATAATTTTTAGTTTATTTTTTTAAACAAAGAAGAAACATTCTCCCTCAACTTCCTCACGTGCAGACCCAGTGACACATTGATAACCAGAGCCATTCCAGTTCTTACTCCTGTGAGTGGGACACTGCTTCTATCTGTAAACCATGTGTGGTTCTTTAGATCCCACAGACAGGAGTGGATTTTCCAAGGGCTTTATTGGAGCACCTAAACCAAGTTGGACAGATTTTGAAATCTGCCTAACTCACTCAGCAGTCAACAGCTCTTGTTTATAATACTTGACAATTAATGAACCTGGAAACATTATGAAAATATTTTTAAAATTTACCAGTTTGGACCATTCCCTGTCCTTTGCACTGGTTGCCCTTCCAGCTCCTCAGCAGCTGAGCTGTCTCCTACTGCTGGTTTCTCCTGGGACACTTTTGCCATGAAACTTCTGTCATTTTGTAGTCATCCACAAGCCAAGGAGGAATCCAGGTTCACATATTGCACTTCTGTCACATGTTGATGTTCTTCCACTTGTTAATACATCCCTGACACTTCACAGATATTCCCTGGCTTCTCCCCAGGATGATCTCATGGACCTACCATGGAGTTAAAAGCTGATGTATTTCGCAGATCATGTTTGGTGCCACTGCCCTCAGGCAGAAAATACGGACAGAGGAATTAACTCTTGTGGGTCTGATTTACAAGGAAGTTTTAGTGAGGTTGAGACATGAGTTGGGCAAGGCAAAGGAGCATGAGAAACAGGACAAGACCAGGATAAAGAACTGTGGGATATTTACAGTCTCTCCCTCAACCTTGCTGCAAATATTTTTTATGAGAGACTAAGCTTAAAATTACAACTATATTTATATTTTCCTTACCTTTCTGTGCTGCCCACATGTGCTCACTTGTGTACCCAGCACTACATGAGTTCTACCAAAGCCTTACAGAGACACAGCCATGGAAGGAAACAGAACTGAAGTTCATAAATTGAAAAATGACAAATCTAAAAGAAACCAATTCAGAAATACAATGAGTAAAAGGAGTTCTGGAGCTGGAAATTCCTGAGGTTTGTTAATACTTTTTCTAACCTGTGGCAGGAACTGGGGTTTCAGATAAGTGGGGAACAGGACAAGTTATGCTCTGTGGGTTGGAACAAAGATTTCAAACCATTACTACTAATGAACTACTCACTCTTGAGACATGTTCATCATTTAACCATGACTTAGAAGGTAGATTATATTTAAATTGCCTTTATCTTCACAGTAACTTAGGAAAAATATTTTTTTTTAATCACTATTAGGTGCCACAAACAAAAGCAACACAATAACAACCAAATAATATCTAAAATATTCTGGTTTAAACACACAAATTAAGAAAGTATTTGGAACCGTCAATAGAGAATTTGATGTGAAAACGCTTCAGATGTTTCCATCTTCTGTCTACTCCAAAACCAATGCATTCCAAGGAATTCTTTGCTTCAACACTTCATAATGGTTAAAAAGCACAGTTTAGGAAATAGAAGTTTGTAAAAGAACTTCTCAATTTTCAGAATGCAATGTTCAAACAGTGGCTAAAATTACATAGAACAGAGATTTTTAAAAATATTCTTTTCCTTCACTTGTCTGTCATTTTGTAAGGAACAGGGACAAAAGGGGAAAGCCAAAACTCAAAAGCATTAACCATCACATGCAGCATTCAGCTGATTAAGAACATAACAAGCCTTCACCATTTTCTGAAACTTTTCCATTTTTTGGTTTCTTTCACACTTCAAAGCCAAATCCAGAACTTCTCTGAGGTTAAAGCAATCCTGCCAAAACATCTCGAGCCAACTTTAGTGAGGTATATTTGAGAGCAGGAAACACGCTGCAGCATTTCCAGTATTCCAAGTGTCTGGAAAGTGTGTTCAGGCTGGAAACCTGCCAGCGTGGGGCAGCAGCGCGACTTGGCACCTCTGCTGGCGAGGCCTCCTGCTCGGGGTGGCAGCAGGGCTTCACACGGCTGCCTCGCCCATCCTCCTCTCCCACGTGCCCGGTGTGGTGGCCATGCCATCTCCATGTCCTCTGCCATCCTCATGTCCTGCTCAATTTTTAACTGCGCCAGGAAGTCCAAAACAAGCCCCCAGGGCTTTTCAACGTCCATATCAGCTTCCAGAGCCTGTTCCACAAGATTTGAGGGCTTTATAACATCCACAAAAGCTTCCAGAGCCTGTTCCACAAAATTTACCCCCATTCAGATAAAAAGAGGGTCCATACCTTCACCATAGGGTCTTATTCCACTGAAGCCCATGCTCCCATATTTCCCAGTGTCTTCTTCTATTTACAAAGGGTCCAGACCAACGTGGCTTTACCCTGCCGCTCTTCTGAGCTCTGCACACTGCTCTCAGCTATCCCCACTGCTCTGCCAGGCCCACTGCAGCTCTCCACAGCTCTACAGGCTGATGTCCCCACTGCAGCTCTCCACAGCTCTACAGGCTGCAGTTGTGGAGACAGGCGTGCAATAGAACACACCAAGCTTCACGCGACAACAGCCAGAATCTGTGGAGAGCTGCAGAGGGGACATCAGCCTGTAGAGCTGTGGAGAGCTGCAGTGGGCCTGGCAGGACAGTGGGGACAGCAGCCTGTAGAGCTGTGGATGCCAATGACATGTTTGCATTCGTGATTCAATGGGATGGGCTGGGGTCCCTTGTTTGAGTTTGAATCTGCTCTATCATTATCATACCTGCGGACTTGTTTACTTCTATTCACTAACGAGTCAGGTTGGTCAAGTTGGTGTCTGTTATGGCCAGTTTATCTGTGCAGCTACTGACCGGCTGTAGCTGTCACAGAAACTCCATTTCAGTGTGTGCTTTGAGTGTGCAGTAGGCAAGGAAGGCTTCAAATCACACAGGTTTCCTTTCCTGATGAGCCTATTCAATGTATAACACATTCTCCCCCCCAATATTTACAGGAATAACACCAGAAACGCAATACGCGTCTTAAATTAATTGCTGTGGTTATTGTTAAAAACAAAGATCTCTCCATGTTACCCAACTCCAGCTACAGGAAAATCTTCCCTGTTTTGTGAATCAAATAGCATTGTTTGGTATCTTTTCTATCCCTTAGTCATTAAGGATGCACAGATCAAAGCTGGCTTATAATTATGTTTTAAAACTCACAGCACTCACGGGAAGAGTTATTAAAGATCCCAAATGTCCTGAGCGAGCATTCCTGCTGCCTCACTGGGCCCTCTCAGATGAGGATTCACACATTTTAACATTCCCTTGTTATGCCAAGAGCTCATCCTCAGGACATTATGACATATACTTGGTGTTCTATGGGTTTCCCCTGATCAAGGACACTGTGCACAGGGATCCATCCCAACCATGTCCAGGATGGAGCTGCAGCCTGAGCACAGCCCCTTCTCTCTCCTGGTGGTGCTGCAGCTTCCAGAAACATCACACATGCCAAGTTAATCTGTTTGCCACAGCTCGTTTATGTGTCAGAGGTATTGTTTGGGAGCAGATACATGAAATCACAATGGATAGCAGTAGTGAAAACAGATTGCCCTGGGTTTACACTGGTATTTAGACTGGAAAGAAAGAAAATTTCCAATTAAGGATGCAAGATACACCCAATACCAACAAAACCTGCAGTTCAAATTCCCACCTGTCTGTTCCTGCCTATATTCAGAGATCCCTGTTCCATTTCCAGAACCTCAAGAAGGAAATTTATTCCAATAACCAGAAGAATTTAGCACCAAAACTCGGCAGCAGTGATCAGAGAGGGGAAGGGATGCACAGGTGGAGCTGTGTTCATCCTCCCCTGGGGATCACAGCAGCTTCCCTGGGACACACAGGAGAGTGACCCTGACAAGTCCTGGAGATACACACCTTCAAACCCAGGTTTGGGTTGGAAGAGACAGAGATCATCCCATTCCACCCCAGCCATGGCAGGGACACCTCCCACTGTCCCAGGCTGCTCCAGCCCCAATGTCCAAGCTGGCCTTGGGCACTGCCAGGGATCCAGGGGCAGCCCCAGCTGCTCTGGGCACCCTGTGCCCAGGGAACAATTCCTGCCCAATATCCCATCTCTCCCTGCCCTCTGGCACTGGGAGCTCCTTGCCCTGTCATTAATGTGGCACCAGGAACAAGCTGGGGTTTTGGACCTTAGTGGAGAAAATGAGATCTATTTCAGATAAAATGCTGTAAATTACCTGTACTGATGTGCAGAGAATCAGTGCTCTTGGAATCATTATATATCACACTTGTAGAAAATCTCTATTTATTCTGGGGGATGACTCCAGTATCTGACTTGCCAAATTGTGCTGAAGTGTGTGTAAAATCTGACCTTCTTCAGATTGTATCTGATCTCCATAAAGATTTCACAAAAGACTGCTTCCCCTTGTTAAGGGATTTTAACTCCCTGCTTTGTTATTTATTTCCCTGTAGTGGAAAAATCCAGTTAAAAAAAAACAACAAAAAAATCAAACAGAAGAAATATTTTACTACTTACATGGTAGAAAAATAATCTTATAATGGAAAATACTCAGCATTTATTAATCTTCACTGTTGAAATTTACATGTTCTTCCATCAAAATGTTTGGCAAAAACTAATGCCAAGTATGCTAATAAGTTTAAAATATATTTGTGCTCATTATTCCAGGAATTTTCATGGCAAAATTGATTTGATTTGAAGAAAAATGTGGAATATCAATAATACGAGCTTAAGACCAAGTCTAACAAAAAATCCTAAACACCATAACATTGAGCACAACAGGTATAAAGGCAGGAGAGCAAAACCACAAAACTGGCTTGGTTTTAATCCAGACTTAATTAAAAACTTGGCTTTGACCAAAAGGTCTTTTTAATTTCTTCTGGCTAAACACTAGGCAAGATTTCCAGTTTCTCTAAGTACCCATTTCAATATGACCTTATGATAAAAATTGTATCAAAATTTTACTAAAACTTAATTAGCATTAATATTTTGTGGCTTTATAAAATTTTAAAATTTTATTTTAAAATTTGCATATATTCTGACATATGTCTTTTTTTTTTTGTTCTAGCCAAAATAAAAACTGCCTTCATCCTTCCAAAGAAGTATTTTCAGTATCTTTCTCGGCTATAATCAACAGGTCCTGCACTGAAATTCATTAAAATAATGTGGAGGTTTTGGTCAAATGGTTCTTCTTCCAAATAAAATTCCATAGAATTTCTAAAGAAGATGAAGTTGCAATCTTGGCACAACCAGCCATGGGTTTGCCCCCACCCTGTGTGCCTACAACAGAGGTCATGGAAAGATGAAATGAAATTTTTAAAAAAAGCAAGCAGGAAGAGAAGAATGTGGTTTTACCTGATAAAGAAAGGCTATAATGAAAATTTATGGTGGGCTATTAAATAAAAGGCTCTTCAGGATATTATAAAAAGCACAATGAGGGTCACTGCTTTTCATTTTTGTAGCAGCACCTATTTTTTGCACATGAATATATTTAATATATTTTAAGCAGATTAGAGGAGGTGACGGGCAGAAGCAAGACAAAATTTATCAGCTGTTAAAATATAAAAAAAGAAGTTGCAGACCAAAGTGATCATGAGGAAAGAAGAAACAAATATCTACTGCTCTTTTTAGAAAAAAACGAAATTTGCAGTTCTGCAAAACACCTCTGGAAAGCCACGGGCTCCAGGGCAGGCCGGGTTTTCCACACCTGCCTGGGGGTGGATGGGTCGGTCTCTGTCACCACTTTTCTGCCACGGGATGCAAAACAGCAAACCCCTTTCGTTAGCAACACCCTGCTCTCCAAAATTGCCTGTTCCCTTCTAAACTCCTGCTCCCACGCGGCCACCAACAGCTCTGAGTGTGTCTTAGATGCAGGAAAATAGAGCTAACAGTGTCTAGAAATAAATAAATCATGGCATGCTAAATCTGAGAAATTCTCCCTAAAATGCAGCAGAAATCCCTGGTGGGGGGAATCAAACAGTCTTAGGAGCGTGTCTGCTCATTCCCAACCCTGCCACTTGTGCCAGCATCATTCCAAGGCAAACTTTTCTCCAGCTACTCAGTTTAACTTCTCTTAATAAACAAGATGTCCTAGAGCACGGGAATCTGCAGTTCCCAAAAGGGGAATAAAACGAGGGATGAGAAGGGAGTGAAAAGATCAGTTTCATCCAACACATCTTCAAAGTCTTGTAACCTGGTTTCTATTTGCTAAAAATGGAAAGCTGAAGCTGCCTCTGAGACAGTTATAAAAATATAATGTATCCGTTTCCCTGGGCTCTCTTGTTCATTAAAGGCTGAGATTTTTTTTCCTCCCTCTCCTTTAAGAAAACTGCCCTACTGCAAAGGGCACTAGAAATAAAGATTGTATTTCAGCTGGAGACAGAGTGAGTAAAAAAGCTTTCTTATTACGTTGCTGATTACTTGAGCAGTCCTCCATCTGACAATACAATTATACCAAAGAAAGGAGAATATCTTCATTACACTGAAAAAAAGGAGAAAGTGTGGTTTTTCCAGCTTTGAAATTTATGGACTATGAGCCAGACACATAGAACTTCTCTTGAACTCCAAAAGACCAGATAAACTTCCTGGAAACACCATTTTTTTTCTCTTACACAAATATCTGTGCTACATAACTCATATTACATGTTTTTTGGTAGGATTTTATGTTCTTTTTAGGAATTCCTTCACCTGCAGGCATGAGCTAGCCTCAACTGGAGCAGTAACACTGGCTCTAGGCTCTCTTACTGGTTCCAGGGTTTGCTCTAGCAGATTTCTATTTATTTCATGCAGAAGTCAGCAAAAGTCAATGGTCCTGCTACATCTGCCCGTGCCATAGTGTAACACAGCTCAGCATCCCAGAAACACTTCAGCAGCGCAAAAGCAAAGGCAAAGAAAAGCCCAGATCAAGTCCCAGCTGTAAACTGTAACTCCATAAAAAGCTGCTGTGCTAACACCAGGCTGGTGATGACTGCCATCCTGGTGATAAATCATCATCTTCTCACCTTTAACCTTCAAAATAATCTCAGTATTCATTCTCCAAGCGCTCTTTCACCCTGGTTTGCAGATGAGTGACTCAGGCAGGTTGGGTGTCAGTGCCTCCCTCCCTTTGCTAATGGCAGTGGAGAACCCCAGCTGGTTCCAGTTCCCTAACTCACTGGTTCATCTTGTAATCCAGCAGCAGACTGGCTACAGCCAGGATGCCCCTGATCATCCCAGACAGCTCCCAGTGTCTGGCTAGGTTGGGGTATGCTCCCAGGAACTGAGCATAAGACAAGAACAGGCATCCTTTGAACACAGAAAATAGGGGAAACAGAGACTTCATTGAGAGTTCAGCCCAAAACAGCAGTTTCTCCCAACACTGAGGGTGCTGCTGTGCTGCAGGGAACAGCTCAGCTGCCAGTGCCTCAGTGACCTTCAGGAGTGGGGATTTTATCTGGTTTCATGGCACATTAAGTTCCTGTATATGGACATACTTTTTTTCCAGCCACCACCACAGCCAAGTTCAGTGGCCTCAGCTCTGGCCCTGCAGCCCCACAGTCACTTCACCCTTCCTCATGGAACTCCTCACTGCCATTCACCTCATCACTCCATGTGATGCAAAAGAAAGAGAAAAGAGAGCTCAGATACTCCAAGTTGCCCTTATCAGTGAATTCTGACTTAAAATCTTAATCACAAACCAGCAGTGGACAGACCTTCAATTAACGACCCACCAGATCACACCATTCCCATCTTTAACTGCCCTATCCTTTCCACATTAACTCATTTGATTATTTTAAGATTAAAAGAACAACAATTAGCTGCCATTTAATGCTTTCAATTAATGGTATTTTATGAACAATGGCATATGAGTAGTGGGACTGAGGAACAATTAAACTTGCTCATTACAGAGCACTGCAAGCTTGTTTACTGGAAATGTGTTAAGTAATCTTCCCTTTCTGCTTTAAAAATAAAAAGACTCATTTACATCACCCCCAACGGTCCAATTTCAAGAACAGTTTTTAAGGCTAAGGTTTTGAGAAAGAAAGTACACATTGCACTAATAGTCCTATGGCTCTGAGGATACAAATAACAGGCACATTTTTCAGTACCAGGGCAGGCATGTTTCCACTCTAATTGCCACCAACAGCACAAACAACAGTCTTAACTTCAGGAAAATATCATTCCACTCTTTTTTTCCATGTATTTGGTTTATATTAGGGAATAAAAAGCTCAAAATTTTGTATCCAGCCCTCAAAGCAATAAGTGCACA